CTCCTTATATTTTGTCAATAATTCCACTGCTTGTGATCCATATCCAATCTTGTCAATAGTTCCACTACTTGTGATCCATATCCAATCTGGGCTGAAGTTCAATTCGACCGGGAAAAACCCCAAAATCACTCAAACCCGCCGGAAACCCTAAGATGGGTGTTATTCGATTCGACTTCCTCGATGTTCCAACACCCCTACAACTGATTGGGTCTTATTCCTGGATCCAAGGGAAGTTGATTAGGGGTGGTGGTGGGTGGTAAAACTTGCCGAAACGGCTGAATCGCCCTCAAACACCTCTGATCACCCGCACTGTTTTTGGGCTTAAAAATCACCAAATTTGGGTGGAGATGGTAGATGGGAGGTTGTGGAATAAGTTGCAGGTGGTTGAGGGGTGAGAATGGCTTGAAAATGGTGGAGATTGACTGGAATTCATTCGGGTTGAAGTTGGGTTTGTGGGTGCACGGGTTGACCAAATGGAAAGGGGAAAAATCCCTCTTTTCTTTTCTTTTTCCTTTCTTTTTCCCTTCCACCTGATAGGTTGCTTCCCCCTCCTTTTTTTTCAATTATGATGGTCCACTTAACCCCATATCGATCGATCTGGGCCTCTTACCCACAAAGTGGGATATAATTAATTCATAAAATCTATAGTATCACAACTTCAAACGTTTGTAACTATACCGTTATAATTCGGACTCACAAATGGCTTTCGCCTATGTGCTCGTGGCTTTGAGATCTATTCGAAAATATAAACCGTGACCTCGAAAGGTCTATGGATTTTAGATAATTAATTTCCAAACTTCTACCCTACCCTCATAACTAGTTTAATTAAAACCTAATTTCAAATAAATTAATATAAATTCTCGAAAAATAATATAGAACCTCAATAATACAAATACATAGATTATCACAGTGAAATCCAGGAATGGGATTTCACATTAAACGCCTTGTAATCTCTTTGGTGTAGTTCTAAAGAGTTAGGTATTGAAAGAGGGTTGAAAAGTAAATAGGTTTACATAAGAAAATTGATACTACAACATTCGAAGAAGGTAGCAGAGTTTTTACATAGACAAAAGATGTCTTTCTAGGGGGAGTCTAAGGCTAAAAGGGGTGCAGAATCTGGACAAAGCACAGCTTTCTGGATATTTGCTTGACTGAGAGACAAGTTGTATGTTTGTTTGTTTGATTGTTTGTGTGCCCTTATCTCTGGGCCCTCTTCCCTAATTTATAAATGAATTAACCCGACTGCGTTGTTTCTGCTCTTGCCCAAAAGCAACTGGAGGGTAGTGAGTCATCAGCATTTTTACATGTTCTGCCATTCGGAAAAGTGCTTTTGGGCTAGGAATTGGTTGATTTCCATTAGTTGTCACTTCCCTTGTAAACACCTACCCTTTGCATTTAATGGGGAGCTGTCACATTGTCTTGAAATGGGTATTTGGACTTAACCCTGGGCCTCGGGCAAAATCTTCACTATTGAACTCTTTTGGGCTTCCTCTCCTTTTAAGCCCAGAGTTAAATATTAACCCAAACAATATGATTTAATTAATGGTGAATTTCTAAGTGTTGAGCCTTTAGAAGTGTCATATAGACACCAACAACAGATGATGAGTGATGGATGAGTGATGGATGAGTGATGTTTTGTTCTTGATGTTCTTATAGTTACGTACGGTGTTACCTCTCATTATATCCATGGCAAATGACTGTTTATTTACATGCCATATTTAGGCAATTGCTAGTACTGCGATATATTTATGTTTGTTTTGTGGTGGGTAGATGAGAAAGGATTTAGTGGGCTAGCCAGATTCCTTTCTCTTTATGGGTAAACTTTAGGCAGCCTGCCATGCTAATATTCACGCGACTTCAGGCATTTCTACGACGGAGTAAGATTCTCTCCTATTCAAATGTTTTCCATTTTTTTCATCCTCTCTCATTTTTTTTCTTTTTCTTTCTCTTTCTAGCACAAGCACTATCTCGTACTCTGCCATTATTTACCTTCCAACTTTCCAAATAATTAATGCATGTTCTATACGTAGAAAAATACTCTAACCTTTTGGGAATATCTCGGCAATGTATCATGCATACCGAATGCGCTATCGTCGATCGATCCCTCACATTAAACCTCACATTAAAAAATAAGTTGAGAGCATGGACTAAGATGTTTGAAAACTCTGATACCATGTGTGGAAAATTACAAGGAAATATGATGTTATTCTAAGAAGCATAAAGACAATTAGGCTAAGGTGCGATTATCTCGCTCTTTTTAAGGAGATTGAAGTCCACTGCAGTTTAACAAAAGTCCACAAACCGATCCAATAGTATATCTCTTGACTTGTCCTCTCCACGATACAATAACCCAACTGAATTGTTGAGTGACTCAAACCTATCTGCACAAAAAGGAAGAGTCTAAAGCTCCACCACATGAAAACACCCTTCTTTGGCCAATAAGTAAAACAGAAAAGATGAAGGAATAAAGAATAATTGTTGTCGAGGAATTACTAGTGGGATAATCAATAAAAGGATGGTGGAGAAAATGCTACTAATTATAGATTTATTCTCACACTTAATGAATATGGTAATAAACACAAACTAACAAAACAAAGGTTATAAGAGTTACAAAATATGAAAGGCTAAAAGACTTCATCTTAATTTTTCAATAACAACAAATAATGACAACCATCTTAATTTCCGACTAACAACAAGTTATGACAATCATCTTAATTTCCCACATACAACAAATAATGACAATTTTAATTAATTTAATATTAAAAATGTACCAACACGATGTTAATTAGATAATCATTAGACCCGTATTAACCCAAAACATGTAAGTTGTATTAGTATTTCAATATGGTTGGATGAAGAAGCTAATTAAGGTTCTGAGAAGAAAATGTCATGGGCCTGAAAAGAGCTTCATAGGTATAGAAAAAGGTAGGGGACCTTATAGTTATATGGGAATTTTCCTATACATAAATCCCAGCTTCAGAGTTCTCAGAAACTCTTATTGGTGCTGAGAATTTTGTACAAGACTACAAGTATGCCCCATCACTGAATGTAAACTAATATACAAATGAGATACTAGGAAAGTACAAGATGAATGTTGAGGCCTTTGAGGGGTCTATTATATTAACTATGTGGAGAGAGAGAGAGAGAGGGAGAGAGGGAGAGAGGGAGAGAGTGCAAAGGGAAGTTTGGTTGGTGGTCATTGGACATTAGCCCGTGCACCGACCTACACTTTGTCAGAGCATACATATATATAAAGTCTACACACAAGCCCTAATGGATCCTCACATATCAACTCCATAGACAATTGATTCTTGAAGCATCATACCATACACACACACATATATGATTATATTAGTGTGTGTAGCTACTGCGCGTGCAAGAAAAGAAAGATAAAGAAGATTGTCTTTTGTCCCCCGCCCCTCCACTTCAACACCCACATCCTTTCTCGGTTTAAAGCTAGTGCTGCTGACTGCATCTGTGGTCGACAATCCTCGTAACTTCACTCACTCTCACACTAATTTTCTCAGTTGCACAGTCTTGGACATTATTACGGGAAATGCTAAGATAACTCTCTCAAACTGAAATTCTTTATGGACTCTTTGTCACTTTATAAGTTGACATCAATTCTCATGCTAACATTATAAATTATTGTGCCAAAAATATGAAATGACAGGAGAATCTCACTTTTAAAAGTGTGTGAGATGTAAAAAATGATGTGTGAATATCACACTTTTTTTTTATTATCTTCCTTTCTTTCTCATCTTGTCACTCCCGGTATCTTATATTTTATGCTTTTTTTTTTAGTTTGAACCCCATTTTTTATATAATAATTGTCTCTATCTAACATACAAAAATAAAATCGGCATGCAGAAAACTGGAATCTTCTACTTTTTTAAGGGTTAATCACTTAGAAGCAAAGGGTCTTATAATTCTGTCATCATGTTGCCAAATCCATCATTAATTAATTAATTCTGACTAGTTAACTATGTCACATAAACTTTACGTCTATAATTTAATAGTACAAAGTTATAGCAACCACAAATTTTAAAAACTTTTAGACTTTTAAATTGTGGGAGTTTGTTGTTGCGGCTGAGAGGGTGAACTAAAGTATTCAAGCTTACTATGTATCAACAAATCTCAGAGAGGATTAAGTTTTTTATTAGTACTGGTTTTTTAACATTAAAAATGTCGTACCTAGTGCACAAGGCTTCCGTTTTACGCAGGGTTTGGGAGAGGTGAATGTCGGCTAGCTTTACCCCCATTAATGGAGAGGCTGCTCCCAAGTCTCGAACCCGAGACCTACCGCTCATGGGCGAAGGCACTTGCCATCGCACCAAGTGCCTCTCCATAAATGGGGATAAGACTAACCGACATTCACCTCTTCCAGACCTTGTGTAAAGCGGGAGCCTTGTGCACTGGGTACGACCTTTTTACGACTGGTTTTTTAACGCTCCCTACAGTTAATATGGTTGGCTTTTTCTGGTTTACTGATTTTTTTTTAAGAAGAGAAACCATGCTCAATCTAAGGTTAGTATTTTCATTGTAATTTGTGATCTGAAGCAAACATTTGAAAGAATTATGGGGAATTCTAGAATGGTGGAGTACATATATTTTTTTAAGTTGCAATATTGCAGAACAGTTCTAAACTGGTGGCCGCCCTGTGTCTGCATGGTATGTCTCGATTTATCAATATTATATGCACTTTCACATACTTGTGTTTGTGCACTGAATCAGAGGAAAGAAGATATTTTTTTATGGGTATCTTCATTCTTTAATTTACACCTTTTCTGCTTGCACTTCTACTTCCCTTTTTTGCCTTTTGGATTGAATAAACTAACAGAAAATTAAGAGACAAAAAAAAGTTTCAAAAGAGATAGGTGCAGAAATCATTTTTCTTGATTTTTCCGGTTTGTATATTTTCCAACAAATGCTTGCAGAGTGTTAGGTTACTGATGGATTGTAGTGGATTAGCTAGGACTCAATTTCATTATCTTTTTCAATTAGAAGAAAAGACAATACATATATAGGACATCAAGATGAGGAAGAAAGAAAAGGAACATACTTCATAATTTTTTTTATAGGAGCACATAAAACAACTCCTCTATACTCACATAATGATCCCTCTACTAATTTTTTACAAACGTGGATAAGTTTACAAATCAGACCAGTTAATCAGCAACGCTCAACGTACTTGTCCAGTAGGGATCGAGGAACACCATCCAACAAGCAAGAGACTGGTGGAATTGTCAGCGTCTGCAGCTCTCCATAAGCATTCCAACAATACGGGTCGGATACCTTGTCTCCTACCGCAGGAAGGAGCTCAACTTCTGAGAGTGTCAAGTTAGTGCATGGGAGAGCATCACTGCAGGCAAAATGCATTGGTGAACTCCGAACGTCATAAGTCCCCTTTATGTTTGAATAGAGTATGTCAGATACGAACACTGCTGAAGTTTGGTTTGTGCACCCTTTGGTAAGGCAATAGTATTGGTCAATCATAATAGGGTTTCTAACATTATCCATGTGAATATTACTGAATGTTACTGCAGATACCGATCCAGACCCGCCCTGCCATGTCTTGATCCTAACTCCATTATCCGTCCCTTTGATTATCGAGTCCCTAACTGTAATGTTAGAGACGCATGCCCGCGAATTGTGATTTCCGAGACTCCCAATGCTGATTCCGTGACCAGGTCCACAAGTGATGTTCCGTATGTCTACATCATAACAGCCTGATCCAATTGATATACAATCATCACCTGCACAACACGAGAGGTTTTAATAACAAACAGGTAAAATTGAGAAAGAAAAAAAATAGAAGATTTGGAAGTAGTTTAAGGCTAACCATTAGAAATGACTGAGTTATAAATTTGGACATCATTTGTGTTCTCTATGTGAATCCCATCTGTATTCGGACTTTTTGCAGGGGCGGATATAGAAATGGATTCTATATGCACATTCTTACAATTATCAAATCTGAAGTGGAATTTGGGACTATTCTTAATTCTAAGTCCTTGAACTGTCAAGTTGGAGCTCATGAAGAACCTCAGGGCCTGCATTATTCAAATTCATGTCATTCAAGCTCATTACTAAACATATATACATGATTACGTATCAAAAGCAATGGTTTCAACTTACAATTGGGCTATCGCATGGCCCTGGCAATGTGGTTCCATTTATCCCCTGTGTCATTAAATTTTCAAAGGATCAGAAATTGCTTGAATCACAAACCCCACACCCCCCGGGGCCCACCCCAACCCCGCAACCACCAAAATAAATAAATATATATATATCAGACAGGATTTGAACAATTTAAAAAAAAAATACCCTATGGGGTTTGCAGGGAAGATTCCACCATTTCTCTCCTCTCCCATCAATTACACCGCCGCCTTGCAGTGACATCTCATTGACTCGGTAAAAGACCAGCCATTGGTGCCTGCTGATGTTCTTTGGCCAGGACTCTGGTCCATCAGGTGGTACTAGAGTTCCATCAACCTTCTCAGTACCAAATATACACAAAACCAACAAAAAAATATTTAGTACTTCATCAACTAATCGGCCTAAAGTCCTGAAATAAAGTAAAGGTTAATCCAAACAAAGGCCTAGAATTAGTACATTACCTGTAACACCAAGCCCCCAAGGCAGGGACCAGTGAATATTGTAGATTGTATCATGAATGAGAAACCTTGGGGAACAAGGATCCTTGCAGCAGATTCATCACTTTGGCAGGCTGTGTCCCATGCCATCTTAAACGCCGCGGTGTCATCAGTTTGGCCATCTCCAACAGCACCAAATGATCTTACATCGAAAGCACCGGAGGAATGGTGCGGATTGGTAGGCGGCTCTTCGGGAGGACTAGCAGGCTCAGGTGAGGAGGAAGGAGGTTGTGAAATGTTGGATTGCTTGTGAGAGTGCTTGTGTTTTGTATGGTTATGCCATCTGGCTTGGGTGGACATTAATAAGAAGCAAAAGAATGAAATGCAGAAAACAAGCAGTGACAACTTGCAATTCTTCATGTTGGGTTGCCCAATTTAAATTGATTCTATAAATAACAGAGAAAAGTTCTACTTTTCACTTGAAATATATGGATGAAATTCAACAAATTTATGTCAATGTCATGAAACAAATGTGAGAACAAATTGCACCCTATATTTTGGGAAGTAGAAACTAGTGGGACAAGAAGAGAGCAAGTTGCACAAGGTGAGAAGTTGAGCTTATTGGGTTTTAGAATTCATGCAGAATATATATATGCAGAAAGGCTGATGAGTCTCTATATATAATAGTTACTAGCAAGTGTTGCCAGGGTTAGTGGAAGGCCAGTCCAACTTATAGTTTTCTCTCTTCCTCTTGTTTAATTTAATACTTTGATGGGGCGGGAAAAGGAAGCCGACCAATACCATTCAGGCATTGGCCTTCTTTTTTTAATTTATTTAACTTTTATTATTTGTTGTGGGTTCTGGAAAAAGGTGACGAAATAACAAGATTCATTGAAATGGGTGGGTAAGGTGGGAAAATCCATAAGCGCCCCATGTTCTTCCCATAACTGTCACTTTCTTTGGTCTCAAATATAGTTAGTGGCACGATCCCTCCTTCAGTTTTTTTTTTTTACTATTGAAAATTAATTGACCCAAAACAAGTAAGGAAAAGTCCGGTTTGATAGACTAACTGAATTATAGAGATCAAAACAATTACACACTTAAGAGCCATCCCCGTAGCTCATGTGTTTATATGAAGTTGAACGTTGGATAATCATTTCAGTTTTTAATTTTATTTTTTGAAAACTGAACAATTCTGCTTAATAACTATTTTAGTTTTCAAGTTCCTAAAAATCATAAAAGTCAAATTGAAATTAATTTTTATTATTTTGGAAATTGATAATTATCGAACAAGTTTTTAGTTTTTAGTTTTTTTTTTTTAACAAAGTTTTTAGTTTTAAAAGTGAAAATATAAACTAAAACTGAAAAAAAAAAATTAATGATTTATATATCACTGTATCAATGTTAAAGTACTTCCAATTTGATCCCACTCGACATCTTTGGGAGTAAGCATCATGTGCGGGTGCCTAGCTTGTGACTCTTGTCCCTCCTAGGGTCGAGATAGATTAACTAAGACAAAAGAATAAATTTCTCATCCCTTGGTGTTAGGGTAATTATTGTTTATATTATTTCAATCATACTTTTTGAGGTTTTCTCATGCTTTAAAAGTTGTTGCTTAATTTCCCGTTCTTATTGTCGCATTGCGTCAGAAAATCTAGTGAGATCACGAGGTCAGTATATTACGATTCTATACTAGAAATGGCTTACAATAAGTGAACTATTACGTTAAGATTGAGTAATTAGAATTTTTGTTTTTTTTTTTTCAAATGATAGATTTTGTTAAATTAGATGTTAGATTAGTCACCAACGAGATTCGAACATACGCCGTCATGCAAGGGCTCAAAACTTTTCCATCACTGTGGTAAAGGGCCACTTGCAAGTAACTAGAAAAGTTTATTTCCTCTTCATTGCAAATTCTCCTTTTGACAATAGTGACATTGACATGATCCCCCTATATAATGTCTCATAAGAGTGAGTGAGTGTAGGCAATTATTCCCTTTCCCTAATGGTTTGTTTCTTCCTCATTTGTGGCAATCTAGGGTTACAAATTTGGTTTGCAATGATATGCGCCATGGTTGCAGTCCATTTTTTGGAGAATCATGAAAATCACTAGGGAATTCTGGCAGTTTTTTGCAACGTAATACGTTTGTGTTGTAGTATATATATTAAACCAAACCCCATACACCAAACAGCAAACACACTTGCATAATGCATAATGCAGTCCCTTTCGGTTTTCCAAGTGCTATTAGGAATGGGGTGTGACTTCGGCCGAAAAGGATTCCAGATCGAGTTTATCTCTCTTGAGTTAGGCAGCCCACCATCAGCTATACATCTCCAATATTTATATACATATATACGTGTGTGGTATATCTGATCTCGCCGACCCATTGATCTCACACTCACTCTCTCTCTCTCTCTCTCTCTCAGCCAGGGATTCTCAGTTGCTTGCTGCTTCTTCAAACTGGTCCAACCCTTCCTCTATCTTCTAAATTTCTGCCTGAAATCGTGAAATGATTAGGTGGGCTCAGCTGCGTATAGCTTATTTTTGAACTCTATGTGGGGCGGTGGATAATACACTACGCTATCCATTTGTGATAACTTAAAAATACAGCATTACCTTATGCCTTGTATGAATGTGCAGAGGTTGTAAATGTTGTAATTGGCACTTGTATACTTGAACTTTATCTCAACCATTATGATCGGTAGTTTTTTTTATTTTTTATTTTATTTTTTTTAGTATATCGATGCGATGGCAAGTGCCTTCGCCCATGAGCGGTAGGTCTCGGGTTCGAGACTTGGGAGCAACCTCTCCATAAATGGGGGTAAGGCTAGCCGACATTCACCTCTCCCAGACCCTGCGTAAGCGGGAGCCTTGTGCACTGGGTACGACATTTTTAGTATATCGATATTTTTACACTAAGGAGAGGAGTTCGGCTAAGCCTCACAATGAGCAGTCTAATTTAGTATCGAATTCGCCATCCACAAGATTCGAACTTAAAACCTCTCACTTCCAAATGAAGAGCAATACCACCATACCGAAGTACTGAGTAGCATGATCAGTAGTAGTATTAGCTTTAGGCCGTGGCATTTCAAATGGAACATTTCACCCAAGTGCCCCCCATATTGGGAGAGAGTGCCAATGTTGGCCTCTTATGGATTGCTTGCCAATTTTATTAGGGTTAGGAATGTTAACTAATAGGGTTGGTGGACAGAACAAAGGAAATACTTTTAACGATCAACTCATTTTCTGATACAAAACCTCCTTGCCAATATTTTCACTTCAAGGGTGTGCAAACCCATTAAGATTTGAGGCACATAATAAGCAGAATAAACTTCTTAATCTACTTTCTTTTACATACAAGGCTTAATCGGATAAATATAAAGACAAATAAAGGGGCCAAAGAAGAAGGGATTAATAAAAAAAACAAATATTACAGCTTCAAATCGACGATGGCATATAGATGGGACAGAAGCTACGGTTCTACAGCATCCCACTTGTTTCTGTGCAGATCAGACATCAACTACAAAGAACGGTCACGACCCAAGGAAGGCGCACTGTTTTCTTGCGTGCTCCGGGATCAGCTTAACAAGCATTTCTGCAGGCACTCCCTTCAGTTCTAATCAAAGTGGGATCATTAAAAAGAATTACCAGTTAGGATTAGACTGCTCAAAGAATAAAATGAAAGTGATGGAAGTACAGTACAAAAAAGAAACAACGCTTATTACCATGAGCCTTAAAGTTGAACAAAGGGGGAAGGAAGCGTCCATTTGGCAAGCGGGTGTTAGGATCACGCAACTCGTCAAAGAAGGGATGAGCTAAGGCCTCCAACTACATTGAAAACATAGCGCTTTACATTAAAACTTGTGAAAGGGTAACAAGAAGCTAAGCTCAAGTACAAAGATTAAATCGGATCGATGCGGATCACAAAAACTGTACAAGGCATATGTCATACGTGGGATGCATGATAATTAAGGTCAGACCCCAGTAACACACATCCATAATGGGACAGAAGAAAGAAGTATCAAATGGACTCCACATGTGCTTGCACATGCAACAAAAATATCAATGAATATTTCTTAGGATGGGGACATCAAAACCTAAACAGCTTAGCATTCGTACGCCTAAACCGATCTTTTGTTTTTTGGAATAAACGGAGGCCTCTAGTGATTATAGGATGAATGCAAAGACAGCACAAAAGAGGAACACTGATAATGGATCCCATCAGAAATACTCACAGCTGTACTTCGAAGGTTTGGAGAGTACTGCAGCAGCCTTGATACGAGATCCACAGCTTCTGGGGGCATGCGCTTGTGAAATATCTGATAATCAATGTTGTATAAAAGGATATTAACATCCAATTTCTTTGACAGGAAATAAACAACAAGTAATATCCCAAGTACCTTGTGCCACGGGTGAGCTTTAATTTGGGGAAACTTAAACTCTGTGTAGTTAGGGTTCATGCATTTTATTTCCTCCCTCGTTGGGGTACCTAAAACCTGCATGAGAATTGAATAAGTTATTAATGAGAACTATTACCATTAACCCAACAGCTTAACCTTAAAAAGAAAAAAGAAAAAATCAAAGGCCGCAATCACCTTGATGATTTGAACAAGCTGGTCTACTCCACTTTCTCCGGGAAACAGGGGCTGCAGAAATAGATATTACTTAATTAGCACATATATCAAAGCCTAGAGATGAAAGTGTAAGAATATGAGTATGAGATAGAGAAGTTTTAGGACCGGTTATAGGTATTCAATTTGGATAGAAAGTCCTATTGATGAAAGGAATGCTGATCCTTGACTGAAAAGGATTTTGGTTAGCATCAGGAAACAAGTGTTTGTTTCCGATGAGGATTTTGATAGGAAATCCTGATCTATTTTGGTGAAGTCTATATGTATATATACAGTGACCTCTCTTCTCACAGAACTAACGCTTATATTGGACCATAACCTATCTGTGAGTCGAGCTCTTGACAATCTGCAAGAGAAGAGAAGGATCACTGAAAGTTTGCTGCAATGGCTACGAGTTCTGGTGCAGCTGCAGGTATGTTTTCCTTTCTGGTTATTTATGTGCACATAACTGGGTTGGTTTCCTTTTGTTTGTGGTTCCTGTTTTGGTCTTGGTGTTTGTTTGTTTACAAGTTCTTACAGAAAGAACACTCACTGAAGAATAATAACTACCTGTCCAAGCAGAAGTTCAGCTAGAACACAGCCAGCAGACCAGATGTCAATGGCTGTTGTGTATTCGGTAGCACCAAATATAAGTTCAGGTGCTCGATAGTACCTAGAACAGATGTAAGATATGTTGGGTTCCCCTTTTACCTGTCAAATGTACAAACAATTCAGTATTGCAAAATCATTAGCCACAGAAAAAGGGAATGTATCTAGAGAATGCCAGGATGCAGAAAACAAACCAAAACTTTCGCACTCCCAAAGTCACAGATTTTAAGCTGGTGAGTATGGGGATTGACCTGTTAGAATGGGGATAGACGATCAATTAGTCTATTCACACAACTAGAACCAAAATACAGAACAGAGCAAATTCCAACATACCAACAAATTTTGCGGCTTGATGTCCCTGTGGCACACTCCAATAGTATTATGAATGTAAGCAAGAGCTCTACA